TCTTATATATAAAATAGCGTTTAACGTTTTAACGCACATTGGATTTCTTTGCTTAGTTTTTATTATATTCATTGAACTAAATATTCGCTCTACTTCTGCATTACTTATAGCCAAAACAAGAAAACTAAAAACTAGGTTGCAAAGGTCAGCAAAAGGGTTTTCTCCTAGGGCATTTCGAAATTGATAAACTTCGGCCCAAAATTCTACAGTTGAGTCTAAATTACTCCAGGTATGTAACGTTATCCGTTGCCATTGCATCTCTATGGATGTTATTTCGTCGGCATTATATTTGTGTTTTTGTTGCTGTAGTTGAACAAATACTTTTGGTTTAATTACTCTTAATGCATTTCCAACCGAAAAAAGTAAATTTTTTTTAGTGTGGCAATATTTGTAGGGAGGCGTTGGCGTAATTCCTTTATTAAAGTGATAATAAAATAGCGACCATTTTCTCGAATTATTTTCTCGGCTTCGTGGTCAAAAGCATTTGTGCTTACTTTTGTTTTTAAATACTCTTCAAAACTGTGATAAAACTGAGGAAATGGAGCAAGGTATGGTTCCAACGGGGAGCATATAGGATCAAATGTGTCCGCGCTAATAACCACTAGGGAGCATAGATGCCGGCGCCAGTGAGGGTATGCTGCGAATGCCGCATTATACTAAAACCAGCCTTTTGACATAAGCTACTATTCCATACGAGTGGGGCACGTGCGAAATGTGGATTTTCCCAGTTGCAGTACTGCAGTAACTCGACACCTTCCTCACCAACAGCTCTGCCCTCTATTAGCTTCTTAATGTAACTGCAAATAAAAGATGGAAATTTAAGAAAAATTACTATCTCAGCGTTTCACTTGTAGCGTTTCACTCTTGTAGTATATCGGCTATCAAGCACCAGAAAATTTCCATCACGCATTCCATATGCCACCGATTGTCATTGATCAATTAAAATACTGTCACCACAGATTTTTCGTACTCCAGCAACTGGTGTGTCTATGGCGGAGTTGCATGACTAAAATCAATTTGGACTCTTTGAGAACTGGCTTGTTTGTTGCGAAAGCTATTGGCATCAAATGTATGCAAATTAGATTTCCAAACGAGCAACTGTTGAATATATGGGGAAAAAATGTATATTAAATGTATATTATATTATTATTTTTAATGTATGTAAAAATGTATGTATTCACACACAAAGCAGAAACTACCTGTCGATCCTCGCCCGCGGAAGCAAAATGTCTACCACGTGGAGAAAGCGACGGCGCAAACTTTGTCAGTATGGCCAGTTAGTGCATAATTTTCCCGTCCATTTTGACCTGGTTCCGCTAAAGTTCACTACTACCGTGTATAAATTTGTCGACCTTCTAATAAATCAAGCAATGTTATTGTATCGTCATCGCCGCCAGTCACCAAGAAATTTCCACCTGGGTGAAATGCAACATCATTCTCCGGCGAAGAATGCACTTGACACAACTGTATTAGCTCGCCTTCGGCTATGTCAAATATCTTAACACGGTTACAACTTAATACTAAAGCCACCAGATTACCGTCTGGATGCCAATGCCAGCTGTCGTCCCATACCTCTTCCCAGGTGAACGTTCGCACACATTCGCCTGAAGATGTACCGCAAATTCTTAACTTGTCGCCGCACGATGCAATTAACTGGCCATTAGGGCTGAATTTTGCTGCGCACACCCAATTTGTGTGTCCAGTGAAAGATGTATATTTTGAATCAGTATTTTGATAGCCGTTCGCAATTTTTCCCGTCTGCAAACGAATAAGCTGACGAAGATGCAAACAAATTCAAACACATTGTTGCATTCTACCGTACTTTTTAAAAACTTTAAAATCTTAATACATATGTGAAAAACTTTTATAATATGAATATTTCTAAAGTCGAAATCAAAAGGAAATTTTATAAATAACAATTTAAAAAACAATCATCTAATATTTTCCAAGTTTTTGGGCATATATGTTACCATTTGAACAACAAATAGTACTAAGTTTTTGAGCCTATTTAATCCAAATCAGGTCAATAAGGCACAGCTTGGACCAAAATAAGCAACTCTAAAAAACAGATAATCGCAGCTGTGGCCCAGGATGACGTCTGTTGCTAAGATATCTCACTCGTATTTGTACACAATGACTGTCTCGCTTTGATTTCGGAATGCTTACACATTGAGATGTTAGCTTACTACCAATATAGAAGTATTAGATATATGATCATCTCTATCTAAATTTTCAAAATCCATTTGTTTTTAAGAAATCTTTGTTTTCAAAAATAGCTTATTTTGAACTTTGACCTTTGATAATTGTTGTTGTTGTTGGTACCCTAGAAAAAGAAGTATACCATTATACTCATTTCAATCATCATCTCTATCGATCCCAATCTGCCTTATCCCGAGTTTCGCCTGAAAAAAATTCACCCGAAAATTGGTCATCCGCCCATTGTAATACCATGGAAACCAAAAGTGAAACGGTTCGGGAAAATGAAACTCATGATAAGGCTAAATATTTTGTTTTTTAATTTGAGATTTGGAGCCAAACTGCATTTGTTCCAATGCTATTACTAATAAATGTTGCGTTCAAGATGCTTCACAATTTGCAGGTTTTTACAGGAAGTCGTTCCAGGTGACCACATCCCATAAGGTTTATTAATGGAGAAAACAGCTGTTCCTGCAAATCGTGAATTTCGTGAAGCATCTGGAACGCAACTAAAGTGAAGTCATAAATAATGTAAATATATGACTCGTTAACATGATTCAATAGGAGCGTTCCTTATCTCCCAGAAATAGTCAGAAAAAGTCCGAAGTAGTCAAATTTAGTCCAAAAAGCGTTCCTTAACTCGGAAATTAAGAGTGACTCTCATCAGTCCGAAGTAGTCAGATTTAGTCAGAAGAATTTTTTCTGGCAAAATCCTGAAAAGTGTCAAACTCAACTGAATTTAAATTAACGGAAATTAAAGAATACGCAAAAAGTGAGAATAATCTAAAAAGTAAAAAAAATGAATTGAAATTGGAAGGAGGCAAAAAATAATTGATATAGCAAGTGTTTATTGTGCTTGTGCTTGTGTGAATGTGTTTTGTACATACATTTCTGTTCTTATTTGACGTTAGTTTTGTTGTTGCCATTCTTTGGACTAAAAATTTGGTTTTTTGCGTTCCTTTACTTTTCCTGTTATTCTCTTTTAGTGAGCGCATTTTGCTTACGCTCTGGCATTTTGACACTTTTCAGATTTTAGTACAAAAAGATAAGGAATGAACCTAATAATAGGAAGGTTTTGTAATAAAACAGTCTTCTCGCTCCCACGCATAAAATCGGCTCCTTTACTTGTGCAGAATGTTGCACACCTCTACAGTTTCTAGTTATATTAGTAGTTAAACCAAAAATTCTTCATACTAAATATTTGTTGGCATCAGCTTCGTTTGCGTAAATTTCTGGAACAAGTCTAGAATAGCGACCGATTAGCTATAAAATAACCAAAAGTGCCGATTGATAGAACTTTTTACGCTGATTTCAACGATGCAAATAAACAATAAACAAAGAAGATATAAGAGGTTTATTTGCTTTGTTTACTTATATTTTTTATTATCACTTAATTCTTAAAACCCAAAAGTAGATCATGATAAAATATGTATAGCTTGTACCTTCTAAATAATATAAATTTCTTTACCATTAATCATGCATTTTTTTCAAAAGAGGTCATTTCATGAAAAAATAACATATGTTCGTTTTTTAGTGGTTTTGGTTTAAATATATATAAAAAAAAATTCAATTATGTATATCAGCTGAAAGATAAATCGATTATCTTTATGGTGACGTTATTAGTTTTTTAATCGGTTGTGGTTCAAAAGATATTAATGTTTAAAAAAAATCTAGGAATTTAATTGTAACCTTCTGAAACGCCTTTACTTGCGCTAAATAATTTTGACATGGTTGAAATGAGCGTAAAAAGTTCTATTGATCTGCATTTTTTGTTTTTGCATAATTAAACGGACGGTATTCTAGATTTGTTCCAGGAAATGACGAATAACTTAAATTAAAAATCTGTTAATTTACGTATTGCTTAGTATTTCCATTAAAACACCAAATATATTGCAAATTCACATATAATTAATAATACATATTTTACTTCTAATTGTATACTTTGCGCACTTTCTTAGTACCTTTCTACTACCGTTTTTGCAAAAGGCGATCACATTGTTCCCCTTTCTCCTACTTCCAAAATACAAATCTAGATAAAGGAGTGTCAAATTTTAGCTGTCACAAAATACATAACCTTGTGTTATTGGCTGCGTTTCTTTATACATTCCGGATAATACCGGAATAAACAGAATACGTTTGAAATATACGTTAATATATCATCAGGAACGTTCTAAAGAATAAGGCCCCTATTATGAGTTGCATTCGATTTTCGACTGTGGTCGNAACACAGAAAGGAGAATTCTACTGCCTGAGGGTTATAATCCCTAAGTGCGGCCAAAGGCCGCTTACGTAGAAAGGAATTCTACGCAAAAATACATTTGTTAAAAAGAACATTTTTTTTTATGGGGGGGAGTTGTTTGGGGAGGCCCACCCCCTCCCCCTCCGCTCCCCGCCCCAAAAACGGTGTGAGCGCTACTAAACATTTCCCAAAAAGTTTATTCCAAACATTTAGAATGAATAAAGAAATGCAGCCATTGAATCATGACTCGTTAACATCTCCGCCAAGTTTCATTACAAAATTCGTGATAGTTTTATAAAAACCCAAAAACCGATGTAATGGACAGCCAACCCGTTTTTCCCACATTTTAATAAATACATTTTCAAATCATAAATTTTAGTTTGTTTATTTGAATTTATATGGCATTTAAATCATTTCTAGAGGCTGTCAAAAATGCTAGCAAATGTCAGAAAAACCCAATGGCGGACGAATTGAGTGAGCGGTTTTACCTTTAAATGTTATCAAGCTACTACCTCTTTGATACGCCTTGTATTAAATCATGTTTTTAACATGTTTTCACCTATGAGAATTCAAAGACAATTTTTCTACAATTTTTTCCTCTTTGGATTTGCGTTTAGCTTCCTTTTGTTTCTTTCTTTCTTCCCGCTCTCTTTGTTCCAGCATTTCTTTAAATCGCTCCTCACGAGGGTCCACTTTAAAGCCAAAATGTCTGCGCACTTCTTCAATCAACCTTTTTTTGTGCACTTTCGCAGCTAAAGCATCCGCTTCTTTTTTCGCTATCTTATTGCGCATTTCTACCTTCCACTGCTCCAGTTTTAACAGTTTGTTTGCAATCTGTTGCTCACGATTATTAGTTGTTTCGATTGATCCCAGGTTTGACTGACTAGATCTTAATAATTGTTGCAGCGAATATTTTTCCTCCACTATAAAGTCATCGATAAAGTTCAATTTTCCTCGGATGTTGAAGCATATATATGGACCACTGGCCGATACTAAGCCATAACGTCCAAACAATTTTCTTTGGTATTTTTCTGTTAAGTGTATCCACGAACACGGTTCACTATACGGATTTACATTCAGCAAAACTTTCCTATTGTGACACAGAAGCCTAGACTTATTTCGGTTATCCGACGGATCTCTTGACTCACATTTCCTTTGCTTCATGGCACTGTGTGTGTCAAAGGCATGGCGCTGAATCATATTTATATGATTAATAGCACTGGCGGCATCCCAGGCAATTTTTTTTCTAAACGTAAACATAACTTGCCTTCTTTTTTTGTGAATTTATTAGGTTGACAGATTTCCTTGAGGCCTTATGCAAACAAATCATTCAAAAGGAATTAGACACGCAAGACAAACATCGATGCATCGGAAACATTGATGTTTGCAAATCGATTTTGCGGACCTTCCGATATACATCGATATATCAATGCAATTACTAAAATAATTTTCTAAGTGCTCATTTACACACGGCGATTTTTGTTGCCCCAATTCGAGATTAGTAGGACAGAGCGGGACGAGGAAAGGAGGGGGCGCCGAGTGGCTCGTGCTCGGGCAACACGCTTTGTGCTCTTGTTCGTCTGCGTAAATTGAGTTAGCGGTTCACAGCTGACAACAACTATTGCATACACAAAAATCGCCGTGTGTAAATGAAACGAGCAACACCAAAAGCAAAGCCGTATTTAGGGGGGCTTGGGGGTAATAGGTGTTCGGACCTCTCCCCCCCTGAAATGTAGAAATGTCGGATTTTAAGGCACTAAAAACTTAAAAAAAGGCAAAATCAGCTTTGAAAAAAGGCAAATATTTTTTAATTTTGTTGTGTACTTCCTTTATGTACAATGTGCATGTCCAATTAAAGATATTAAAAAATACATACTGTGGTCAAAAAATTATAGCCGAACCACTTTTTGCCAAGTTTTAACGTATTATTTCGTTATTTAATTTAGGTTATTTTTTTTTTATAAAAATATAGTTAATTCTTTAACAAAACCCGTGTAAATCCACGTTTCCAGATTTGTGCAATATAAAAAAAATTCAACAAACTTTCGTACAAATTTTGAGGTTTTTTAATGATTCCTAAAAGCCAATCGCAGTATTTAGCCACTTGAAACTTGCATTTTATTCTACTACAACTGCGTACTCAGAATCTTATTAAAAACTCGAAATTTTTACGAAAACTGGTTGAATTTTTTTTAAATTGCATAAATTTTTAAGGCAGTGTCACCTGATTGGTTTATTTGTACAGATGAGAACATTTTTATATTGGTCTATTGGTACAAAATATAAAAATGGGGAATTTTTTTGTAGTCAAAGGATTGGTACAATACAGCGATGTTCTATTGAAAAATTTTAACAAA